GCTGAAATGATGCTGAATTCTTTCTGCTTTAGGACCAGTGTGATAACAACGTCCTCTGAGAAATAGATTCAAAGTACAGGAAAAAGGATTCCAACTAAACATTAGGAAGAACTTCTTGGTAAGACCTATTCAGCAGTGGAATATGCTGCCTCAGAATGTAGTGGAGTTTCCTCCTTTGGAGATTTTTAAACAAAGGCTGGATGGCTAACTTTTGGGAGTGCTTTGATTATATATTCCTGCATGGCAGGGGGTTGGACTGGATGGCCCATGTGGGCTCTTCCAGCTCTATGATTCTATGATTCTATATCTTTTATAAAGCATATATTTATTGGAATATCCTGACAGAAAGCTGAATTTCATGGCTTTGATGTCTTTTTGTGCCTTTGACAAGAGTTCTACAAAGTGTTACCTCTGAAACAAAACCGGCAACACCAAAGAAACTGCTGTTTTTGGTGCACACAGCTGACCCCACTCTTTGAAGCATTTTAAACACTGGAGATTAAACCAATGGTTCTGAAGATGTTAACATCCTCAATAGATGATGTGTCAGAGGAGCTCTAGAGCTGTATAGAGACTTTGCTCCCGTCTACCCTAAAACTGTTTGTTAAAACACTATTATAGCAATTACATGAGCTAAATCCCATGGCTTCCCATTGGAATTCTTTTAAGACCAGACCAAGGTGTTTTGATACTCTTAACTGGGGAAAGAAATATATGGCGTGCATTGCCATAGCTTCAGAACTGGTGCACAATCTGTGGTTTAGTTCCTATATTCCTATCTCCACCAAATAATAAAAAAAGGAAAGAAACATACACAGGGTTAAGCATTTCCTGTCCCATTGTCACCTTCCTGACCAAATTACCATCCCTCCCCTGCTTTGAAATGAAGAAAAAGATGCTTGGAGAGCCAGTTATAGTTGTCCCACACCAGCATGACACTAACAAAACCACTTTTCCTGGTACCTTTGTATACCACTGCAGCATTGCTTTTTCCTATGCTATAGGCCAGAACTGCACAACCTGACAGTAGGTAGGGGCCAAAATTAAAATAGGCTAAACGTATTTGGGCCACACATAAGCTTAAACTAAATATTTATTATTTAATAATATTAATTATTAATAATAAATATTAATTCCCTCCTCCTCCTTCTCTGCCTGGCCCTCTCCTCAGGAGAAAGCCGAACGACACAGGATCATTGCCTGTCATTCTCCTTCTCTGCCTGGACTTCTCCTCAGGAGAAGGGTATGTGACAGAGAAGCCTTGAGGAGTGAGTGTTTGCCCCTCTTCCTCCTGTGCTGCCCGGCCTCCTCAGGAGAAATATGGATGGAGGAAGAGCCTTGCAAGGTGTGCATTTGCCCATCTTACTCCTCCTCTTCCACCCAGCCTTCTCCTTGGGAGAAAGCCGGGCAGCGGAGGAGTCTTGCAAGGTGAGTGTTCTCCCAGCCTTTTCCTCAGGAGAAAGCAAGGCAGCAAAGGAGTCTTGCAGGGCAAATGTTTCTCCTTTTCCTCAGGAGAAAGCCAAGCAATGGAGGAGCACTGCATGATGAGCTTTCATCCATCCTCATTCTCCTCTGCCACCTAGCTTTCTCCTCAGGAGAAAATCAGGTAGCAGAGAGCCTTGTGGGACAAGTGTTTGCCCTTCCTTTTCCTCCTCTGTATGGCCCTCCTCAGGAGGAGGCCAAGCAGTGGAGGAGCCTGAAGTTGTTCCACATCCTCACGGGCCACCCAAAATCCTTTGGCAGGCTGCATGCAGTCCCCGGGCCGTATATTGTGCAGCTCTATTATAGGCTCTTCCCTGCAATGCCACTACACAAATAAAGGGTCCTTTCTCTACATCAGGTTGGTTTGGCCCAAGATATTTTGTTAATTGAGGCTAAACAGCCAATGCCTCTTCCTGAAATAGGGCCCATGGCTGAGCATGTTATTTTTGCATGTGTGGCTGAAATTCCCACAGGCATCTCTCCTTGGGAATCCCCCCCCCCAATAATTAAATAGGCAACATTATTCTTCTTTATGACATCCCAAACTAGCTGCCTAGGAAAGTGTCTTATATGCCCAATGGCAGGCCCGGCACTGATACCAGGGTTGCAAAGCAAAAGAAAAAAAGAAATGTGTGTAGAAAAGAGAGGGAGATGGATGCAGATGCCTTATGCAGAACTTGCTTATTTATTTGGAGTTTTTATACCTCAACCCATCAGCCAAAAAGGCTCCCAGAGTGGCTTACAAAGTGTTCATTTGACAGTTCCTTACCCTTAGGCTTACAATCTAAATAAGACAAGACACACAAGGAAAAGAGAATGTAGATGGATGGGGGTGGGCCTAATGAGACGATCACTCTAGTCTATACTCTTAAAATGAGGCTAGGTCACTTAAACCTCTCTGGCTGCCTCCTTTTTCATTCTGGAACTTGTAGTTTAAGAAGGGGCATTTAGAATATTCAGCTAGAGAGCTTTTAAGCCTCACTGAACTACAAACCCCAAAATGCAAAAGGGGGCAGTCA